CCCACTGTAAATCAAAACCAAGTAATACTAGCCCCTCTTACCCTAGCCGGGCAATCCGTTTACAGCAAACATTAGGTAGAAAGGGTAAATGAACACTTGTGTTTTCCCAGCGTGCAGAGAACGTTTGCTGGTTTCTTTTGAATAGGATGCTATATTTCAGACACAGTGGGCAAAACAACAACAAAACCCCCTGAAGATTTACCAGCGTCTTTTAGCGGTTGTTACCAGAAAGCCGTGAAGGTTTTTAAATTATAAATGAAGATTTCCAGTGTCTAGGATGGATACATGTCCTAGTGTTTCTGTGGTCTCTGCCTCTTTAGATGCCCTGTCTGGCTACACCAAGGCACAGTCGGCCCGGCGTGTGCGTGTGCGTCTTTTTCTTTTCTCACCGTGGTGTGCTTCTGTGGCGGCTGCTGCCTCCAGTGCGGTCGCTGCCTGCTTCCTAGCCTGGCTTTCATCATTTCTTCCTGTTGATTGGTGTCACCTCGCATGCTTAGAATGTCTGCCTGTCTGTTCGGAGTGTGAACACATTCCTCAGAATGCTGATCTGTTCGTTTCACACCAGTGTCAAAATGACTTATTAAATTCGGCACCTCCTGATACTCAGTGGCTGATGTGTTGCCGTCCAAACAGTAAATGACAATAAGCATATGCAGCTGGTGGGCCTAGCAAACTCATTTAATTTGATAAAAATGTCACCGCAACATGCTTGAAATCGCTGTCCTTTTCATCATTGCTAATTGCTAGCTATAGACCTTTTTCCTATGCTTCATACAAGTGTTAGAATACTGTTCCTTCCAGCCTGATTAAGAATGAAAAAAAAAAAAAAACGTAGAATTTCTTTTCAGTGGCAGCATTATTTCATCAAGAGATGGATTTTGCTCTTAATTAGCCAACATGCCACTAGGGAAGCTTCAGAGTCATGGGTGTGAAACAGCCTCAAGCAGGAGATCAATCTAAAGGAAAAAAATGGTGGCTGGGGAATAATTGGCAGCTCCGGTGAACGTGGTCTGCTTATAACAGTGACAATATGCTCCAGTGGAATATCACAAGCCTCTCTTCCCTATTTCCAGCTTGGCACATTTCAAGCTCAACAAAAGATGAACAATACATCCCATGGTTATTTGTCAATTGTTTTATACTTTTTCTTGCTGCTTCGTTGGGGTTTTCGCGTGTGTTGGCCTGACATTCTGGACATTTCCCCTGAATGGATTAGGGGATTAAGAAGGAATACAAATTCAAAAAATAATAATCCTCCACTAGCTTGGTGCTTAAAAACAGACCTGGAACTGATCCACACACCAGAAACAGGCAAACCTGCCCTAATTTACTAACCTCAGAGGCTGATTTAAGACACACACACACACACACACACACACACACACACACACACACACATGCCCAAAGATTGAGCTCAAAACTTTAAAAATAGATGCGTCCCAGATTGCATAGGAACTGACACCATTTATTTGACTATGTGGCCAAAATGGAAAAAAATAGGTAACATAAATTGTTTACCCCAAGTGAACTGATATTTCATTTGGTTAAAACTCGTGTTTTTGTTTTTTTTTTTTTCTTTTAAAGTGCACTTTGTGTGTGGAGTTTGACTCCTGGACTGGGTCAGCTTATCACTCTACAGGCTGCAAGACCCACCCTTTAGCACTTCCTTGGGCAGGAGGCTTTATCTGGGATTTGACTTGTGTGAAACAAAGGAGGGAAAACTTGCTTTTCTTCCTGATATTCTTGCCTCTTAAGAGCTTGATCAGTTTTCTTCTTCTCTTTGCTAAAAATGGAGAATTGAGCCTGAATTATTGTTTATTTTATTTATGCAGTTGAATGTATTTTTCTCATGTTGGTTATGAAAGAAAACGTCACAATTCCAAGCGACTTCCCAAGTTATCTACCTATAGTCTTCCTGCTTGGGTGGAAGTGAAATGGTCAGTTGAAATGACCAATTTAAGTGGGATGGTCAGTTGAAAATGTATGTACCCTACTTCTACGTAAGCTTCTGCTTTGACGCTCACTCTATATCTAACACCGAGTAGTACATTTCTGTCTCTTGGCAATCTCAGGTTGTCAGAGGTTGTTTTCTCTTTTTCTGTGTGTGATGGTGGTACTATACCTCTGTAGAAGATAATGTGCTATTTCTAGGAAGGCCCCCAGAGGTTCTTTTTGCTTAAATTGAGCCAATGCCAAAGAGTAGTCAAAATGAATGAGGACAATGAGGTGTCTGAATCAGAGCTCTGACCTGCTCCAGATCAGCATTGGTCAACCTGGGCAGTTCCAAATGATGAGTGACAGTTCCGTGCCCTAATCAATATGTGGGGGTGCCATCAACTGTGTTAGTAACCCAGCGCCTGTTTTTGGGTGGTAAGGAAGGTGTGTGTCCCATAACTGGCAGTTACGTAGTAGACAGCAGGCTGAATGCCCCTCTGCTTGACTTGCTGGGAGAGAGGGAGCCCAGCCAGACTTTCAGCTTGACACATCATGTCCCCAGTCTCAGTAGCAACCCCATGTTATGTAGAATGGCCTTACAGTGTCCATTTCTAAATAGGTTTATAAGAAGTTTATTTACTTTTTTATTTTGAGAGAGAGAGGGGTGAGAGAAAGATACTCTAACAGGGTCGTCACTTAGTGATTTACCCTCAGCCTCAGCTGGCCTGGCCTGGATCATGGGCACCTGCATGCCTGTTGCTGGTATGTACAAGCAAGTCTCGGGATGTGAACCTGGAACCTTTCTATGAGGGTCCAGCATTGCAGAATCTTGTGCTGCCACAGGGCCCCTGCAGTCGACCCTCTCTGAGTCACAAGGGAATCCATATTTACACTATCCTAAATGAGAACCCTGGGTTCCTCAAGTAGGCATGTGCTATTTATTTATTTATTTATTTATTTATTACTTGCCAGAGCGTGCATATGCTCATCAGGGAAAGACAGAGGGACAGAAATAGAGGGAGAAAGTACCCTCCCCATGAGAGTGTGGTCACATTGCAATCCTTTCTCTTCCATTTCTCCATCTGTTGGGATTTGGGGCATTTCTACACTCATGCCTAGCATGTTTTTCAAGCTGTTAGGGTTGGGACTCGAACTGTGTAGTTGGCCATGTGAGATCTGGCTCCCTTAACCACTAGGCCATGTAGCCAGCTCACAGTTATGACCTTATTGTAACGTCGGCTCTCATTTGTTGACTGGTAGAGACTTTTCTATAATTTCTGTATTTATCCCCTGAAACAAGCTAGATGGTAGTTTTTAATGGGCCACATAAAAGGACAGTTTTTTTTTCTCCTGCATAAGTAACATATAGGTATATGATCTTTCAAAATAATAAATAAGCCCCCATTCACTTGTCCTGACCAAGTCCAGGCCTGCTCCCAGGAGAGACCTCCTCATGCTTTGGCATCAGTCTATACATTCCTATACTCTCCATGGTGGGCCCACAGAAATGATTCAGTGCTGGTCTTCTTTTTTTTTTTTTTTTTTTAGGTGGGGGTGGTACTTTCTTCCTCCAAATGTATCACCCCTTGTATCATCCCATTGCTTACTCTTGTAACTGAATAGCATGCCTGAGAGCTGACCTCTGTTCTTCGAGATCGGTGCCATTCTTTTGGAGAACTGCAAGAACTTTCATAAGACAAGAAGAGCAGATTCCTTTGCCAATTTCTCCTCATTTTATAGATGAGAAAACTGAGACCCAGGGAGGTTAAGTGCCTTAGTGAAGTTGAGAGCCTAGGAGAGAACCCTTCCTGGACTGACTCTCTGACGTCTGTAGGTCCTTGTGTATCATCAGGCTGCCCTGGCTCTGCTGCCCGTGTCTCCCTCTGCACTGAGGTCTCACCTGCTGGCCTCCTGCGGCTACCATGGACTCGAGGTCCACACTTCAGACATGAGCATTCGAATTCCTGTGGCCAGGTTTACATCCATCTTAAAAGGATTTGAGTAGGAACAAACATGTGGAAAGACGGTTTACAAGCAGGTGTCTTTCAGCATTTTGCCAACCATGTAGTCTGGTTAAGTTTGGGCTGTCTCAATCTTACAAAGATCCCCCCCACCCCGCCCCAGTAAGTTCTGTTTCCCGTATTCCATATGAAAGTGTGCAGGAGGGATGTGGGAAGCAATTGTGTGGGGGAAATGCTGCCCTCACAAACACAGATGTGGCGATCACGGTGGTTTCTACACAGATGTTGATGGGTTAGCAAGAATTTCTGTGTGGAAATAGCTGCAACATCAGAATGGGAGGGTAGGTTCAGTAACTTAGTCGTCGTATGAATGAAAGGGACTTTGCCCTTCCTACAGACCTACGCAGTATCTGGAACTTAGTGTCTTGTTCTTGAGAGGACCCGTTCTTCAAAATGGTTCATTTAGCAGCAGTTCGAGAAGCCATCAGTGAGTTCTAATAGATGAACTATCTCTAAAGAATTTTTTAAAAAGTCAAAAAATAGCTCTGTAACTTCTGCTTATACCCATGGAAGAAACGAATTTTTGCATCTCAGTACCAAGAATTGGAACTTCAAATAGAAGCATTTCGAACATAAAATTTTAAAGCCGTTGTTGCTCCAGCTACATGCTACAGACCCCCCCACCGACCACCTGGTTAGTTTTCTGCGGGTTTCTGCGGGAAAGGTTTACAATGGCTGGTTCCTGGTTTGATGTCATATCGATAAATTATGGTGCTTTAAACAGATGTGATCTCACAGCATGGAATTCTTCAGGGTAAAGCTTGTGAAAAGGTTTTTTTCCCCTCTTGGTTTCATTGTAGTTTTGTTGTTTGGAGGTTTTATGTTGTTCATTTAGTTCCCTGGCTATTGGGGTTTTATAGTCGTATTTCCTTTGTTTAATATAATTTCCTTTTTTCTTTTAGCTATTTTTGTTAGGGTGCCCAGAGGCTTCTGTTATGAGTGGCTGTAAAGTAAAATATATTATGATTATTACAATGATAAAGTATAAGCTTTTAAGAGTCTGTTTATATTGACCCATATATTCTCTTTCTCCCTCTCTCCAAGATACACACAGAGGCACACTGGAAATGCAATAGAAAACGGCTGCCAATTTAAAACCAGAAGTTAAGAACAAACCAGAATGTACAGCAAGAGAGCTTCAGGCTGGACCGGCTCCAGCAGAAGTGAGTCTGGGAACCTTGGGTTCTGTTGCCTCTTTTCTGTGATGTGGGAGAAGCTGTCAACACCTGAGCTTGAACTTGGTCATGTCTGCTTGTTTCCCAGCCACTGAACTTCCCGGAGCCTTAGTTTTCTCATCTGTGAATTGGGGGACAATATATTCTTTATTTCAAGGTTGCTGGGAGGCTGAATGAGATGACTGTGCAGAAGCACCAAGCATGGTCTCTGACACAGAGAGGTCCCAATAAATGTGAGCTGGAGTGAACATGAGCTCCGCTCCCTCCTGCTTCCTCACAGGGCAGTCTCTGGCTCTGGGCCTCCTGACGTTGTTGGTGACCGAGGCAGCCACTAAAGCTGTGTTGGCCTCATTACTTCAGTTTCTTGTGCTGCCTGAATCCTTCTAGTTGCAGAATCCAGGTTCCATTCCAACAGAGCCTCACTTCGGCTAGTTGTCAGCTTATGAGAGGACTAGTAGCTGCTGAAGTATGAGATATCAGTGCTCTGTGAATGCCATCCCTCCAGCGTGTGCATATTGTAATTTTGTTTTGGAACTAGAAAGGCATTGAGAGACAAAGGAAAATCTCTCTAATAGCACTCTTTTTTTTCATTTAATATAAAGAGAGGTGGGCTAGCTGGTGGCATGGTGGTTAAGGCAGCTGGATCCCACAGTTCAAATTTGCAGTCAGTTGGACTGCACGGTTCAAGTCCTGGACCCGGCAGTTTGAAAAACAAGCTGCATGTGTGTGCCTGTGTGCCCAAATCCTGAGAGAAGAAAAGAGGAGAAGGGACTGCAGCGTAGTAAACTCCCTTTCTCCTTTTGCTTTCTCACTTTCCCTTTATTTCGGTCTCTGTCTTTCTCTACAGCAAACACACATGCCCTATAGCAAAAATCTAAAAAAAAAAAAAAAAAAAAAAAAAAAAAAGAAGAAGAAGAAACAGAAGGATAGCGGATGCTTTATCCAAAAACATTTAAAGTCATGCCTCATGGGTAGCTGCGAAGTCTCCATTATACTGATCTCTCCGTGTACTTGGTTGAAATGGTGTTGCCCCCAAATTCATATCTACTCAAAATGTGTGATTGTGATCTTGTTTGGAGATAAGGTCGCTACAGATATAATCATCTTAAGATGAAGTCACATTGGATAAGGGAGGCCCTAAATCTAATATGACTGGCATTTTTATAAGAAGTGGAAAGTTTGAACACAAATACAAGGGATCAGGCCATGTGAAGACAGGCAGAAACTGCTGACAGTCACCAGAAACTGAAGAGGCAAGGATGGATTCTCCTTGAGAACCTTCTTTGGGAGGTGGTCCTGCTGACCCGTGACTTGAAACTTCTGGCCTCCAGAGTTTTGAGAGAATAAACATTGTTATAAGTTGTCCTATTTGTGCTACTTCATTACAGCTGTCCTAGAAAATGAACACATGGACTAAGCAGGGTGCTTGCTGGGTGGCCTGGGGGGGCCAATGGCAGGGAGCGGTAGAGGGGGATTTTGGTGGCAGGCAGGTAATTTCGGCTGGGAGTGTAGGGCATGAGGCATGTGCAAGTCAGTGGGGGGAGGGACAGGTGTGTCTGGCGGGGACAGTGTTACAGGTCTTTCTGAGAGCGAATAAGTGCTGAGTGAGATGCTGCCATGTCCGACGAAGAGTGCATCTCACTTCACAGAAGGAATGTGCTTCTGAAGGAGTCCGCATGAGCTCGACTTTTCTTGAACTTCTCTAGGACACAGTGAAGTTTGAAGAGATCATTGACATTTCATGAAACTATAGATCTTACCAAGTAAAAAAATTCACCCTGGATATTTTTTATTTTGTAAGTTCTTCCCCGTACGTGTAAAAATCAGACCTTCCCCAAATGCAAGTGAGAGTCCAAGATGGCTTAGAAGAGGAAAGGAGGCTAACTTTCACTTATTTTCAATATGGAAGAAAAATACAACCCTTTTTAAAAAAATGAATGATTTATTTAATTGTGTTTTTATTATTATTATTTTAAATTTGCTACAGGAAATGTGTGCTCGCCAGAGAGAGACAGAGAGAGGGAGAAAGCGAGAAAGCAAGCAACCAGGCCCAAGACTTAAACAATGGTCGGCCATGGGGGAATCCAGCACCTTAACCACCACACTACCTGCTGGCCCCCAAATATAACTCTTTCAATTTAAGAATTCAAGAGTAATCTCTTTAAGCACTATATATTTCTGAATGTTAAAGAATAGGATTTAGTAAGAAGATGCTATTGTATGTCAAAATAGAAGAGGTCTTGACTTGATCACTTGAAATAGCAGAGAAAAACAGTGTCGTTGAACCTTCTATTCAGCAAACATTTTCTAAATATCTGCTACATGGTAGGTACTCTGTTGGGCACCTGAGGAGAAAGATATCGAAAGCTTGATCCTTGTTCTCAGTGCCACAGGCAAGGAGATGGACAGTCTTGCAAATACGTATTAATAGCAGTAGCTAACATTTTGAACACCCAAAAAAGTACCAGGCCCCATGTCAAGTGTTTTACATGCAGGACAGCATCATGTATTCTCTGATAGCCCTTTGAAATTGGTTCTATTACTTGTCCCATTTTGCAGATGAAAACATAGAGGCCCAAAGAGGTTTAGTGCCATCCAGTTAAGTAAATGGGAAGCTGAGATTTGAACCCTGGTCTGGGGCTCTGAAGACTCCACTCTTCATCGCTACAAGTGGTCAGGATGTAGCTGTTGCATGGGCTCAGAAGTCAGGCTCTCTAGGTTTGCATCTTCAAATATCCGCCATGAATGGTGCCCTTGAAAAAATTACCGCTCGGTTCCTTGGTGAGCTAATGACAGTACCTGCTTCATAGAGTAGTTGTGAGAACGAAACCATCCGTTGCAGACAAGTAGTTTAATGCAGCACTTGCCACGACGAGGACTGTCATGACACAGGGCAGTTAGCTTTGGTTACTACACTCGGTTAGGAGTTACTGCAGGAGTGTGCCCAGAGAGCTGTGGAGAACAGAGAGGTTCCTACACTCTTGGTTGGGACAGTGTGATAGAAATTACAGATTAGGTTCTGTCTCCTCCTATATAACAATTAGGTCCCATTCCAGGCATGGATATCTTTTGAGATCAAAAGGGAGAGCTTTGGGACTGTGGGCGAGTTGTGGGGGCAAGAACAAACATCTATGTATTGGTTGTCAAGGGAATATTGTTCTGCAAGTGATATTTAGTGTTTTTGGTGAGTGTATTTAACTGTATTCCACCACAGTGTTGGATAGACATGCCACAGTCTATGGAGAGGGAATGCACGTGTCTAGTTAAGTTCTAGCAAAAGTACCTCCAGCCCAGGAGGGTTAAGAGAACTAAGGACTTTGAAAATATATGACTGCTTTTTGATAGCTGGGCATGGTTGGGAACACTTGAGCTCAAATCATTTGGACACATGAGAACAAAGCTGGGTTCTGAGAAAATAGCAGGTAAGTTTACATGACAGGTAATTTGGCCTGACTGGCAATGGTCTGAAGCTGCCGATCCTGGTGGCACTTTGAAGTGCAGAGCCTTGAACTTGAAGGCAGTGTTTGAGTAACTCCTATGTAATCTTGCAAATTTGGCTCAAATACCACCTTGTTTAGGGGGCCTCCCCTAGAGGGCCTCATCTGAGCTCTCCTAACACGTTCTGCACACTTTAATCACAGTATTTATTGTTCAAGTGATCTCTTCAGGAGTAGGTTCCCCTCACTCCCATTCCCATTGTAGTTCTAGTGATATGGATTTGGCACACAGTAGGTACCCAAGTTGTAGTCGAACTGAAGTTGGTATTAAAAAGAGAAGAGGAAATGGGTACACAAAGGGGAGACTCAGACTACTGGCGACAACAGTTTCTCAGTTCATAGTCTTCTTTCCGTTGAAATCAAACAGACTTTGGCTATACATAGTTGAACTTAAAGTCCAATGTATTATCAACCTGGCCTTTTTGATAATTTTCATTCACTTTACTTTCTTGGAAGCAAAGAAAACGTGGCTGGCTTGGGTTTAGGAGAGAGATGGGAAACTGATCCATCTTTTCTACCCTACCCCAAAGAAGGGGAGGACCAGCTAAGCAGAGGCAAGATATGCTGTAAGGCAGTGAGCGACACCTTGGGAACGGGGTCTACTCTGTGCTACTCCACGGTGGGGAGTGATTGGGGAATTTTACACAAACACTTTTGGATCAGCTGTGTCATCTGGGGGCAGCTCTACCATCTGTGCCTCAGACGTTGAAAATGATTTTCTCTAAGTATCTTTTTAAGTAGCTTTGGGATGATTTCAAACATGAGAAAAGAAGTTGAAAGTAGGAAACCATCTTTTTTTTTTTTTCTGTGAAGATATACCATTCCCCATCAGAGGAGACTGGCTGTGAAGTTCTAGACTTTGGTTTCTATTTCTCTTCAGTGTCGAACAGCATCCTTGCTTTGTATTGGCAGAAGCAGCCCTTTCCTTAATATAAGGCAAGACACAGCCATAAACCAAGCCGACAAGTGCAATGTGTTTGGCATGTATTGTTGTTTGTTACCAGGAGGGCTTAGCTCTCGCAACTTACCCTAAACAAATGAGTCCTAAATGCTTGGATTAGGAGGGGCTGTAAATTTAAGCCAGCCCAACCTGTCTTTGTTAGAGAGCTCCTCTTCTTGTAGAAGGCTTCCTACTCTGGCTGGTTACTACTGCTCTATTTTTTGAAGAGATTAACAAATAAACAAACAAATATGAATGAAATGGAAGCCCCGGATCCTAAACCCCTATGGGAGAGAGCTGAGGGTAGGAGCAGGGCCCTCTGCATCTGAGTCAGTCTCACCAGCTGACTGAAGCAGGAAAGTTGCTTCCCTGGATTTGGGGGAAGGTGAGCACTACAGTGTCAAGAATGTAAATTTGGGCACAGATACATGGGGTCTTCAAAAAGTTAGTGGAAAATGAATATGATGAAAAACCTTTGTATCACTTTTTATTTTTGAGATTCTTTGCTATAGCACATTTGTGCTTGCTGGAAGGACAGAGAGAGACAGAGA